CCTTGCAGGGACATTCTTACTTGACCCAGAGCTATATGCAGCCCATGGGAGCAGCATTAAAAATGACCTTTCTTTACAGGCCCATCACTAGAGGACTTCATGACTTCATCTTTGAATGAGAGTTAGTTGATCTGGATATAACTTTTTAGTAATTGAGTTTTGAAATAAAAATAATTGTAAGCAAGTAGAGACTCAGCAGTTCATCTGATTAAGGATGCCTCCTATGATTTTGCTAGGGTTAGAAGGATTAAACGAAAGCACTGTTGGGCACAGTGTTGATGTATTTTTGTCAACATGAAGCTTCATGCTCGACAGATGTGCATTGGCTGAACTAAAGGTAAAACTAAAAATGTTAAATGTTGTGATATTTTATGGGTTTTTTGGTAAACAAATTATTAATTTGCTAAAAGCCTTGTATAGGAATTACTGGAATGGAAACTGAATATTTCAGGTTTTACATGCTCATATAGTTCTGTTACATCCTCAACTGTTTAACAGCTTTGAATTTAAAATTTGATTGCAATGTTATGCTTAAACTATATGGCTAGAATTGTGTAATTGTATTTATACAATATTACTTTCATTTATTTGTCAATATCCATGAATTATAAAATGCTTTAAATGATGGAGTTATATTTTGGATTATTGATTCTTCAAATAGCGTAGTCTTTTAATCATAAAGTGACAGTTTTATTGATCTATTTTAATAGAGATTGTGATATTTTTATAAAGATAGTGCTTACTATAATACAAATTTGAATTTAGAGAAATTAGTATCACATAAAAAAGAAATTAGTTATCTTTAAATTCTTTACTTTTAATATTATTATTAAAAATAGGATAATTACAGTTGATTTAAAATATATGAATATTAATTTTAAGTATGTAATTTTCACTGCTTTATAAATGTTTTCAAATGCTTACTGAATTGTATTTTAAGAGACTTGGTTATGTTACAGTAACTATGAACAGTATAATAGGTGGCATAGTTGATACAAACCATGTAAAATGGTTAAGTTCGTAACTACTAAATGGAAATCATGGCAAAAAATGAAGATTTAATATGTAAAATGAGACAATATTTGGAAAATTAGGAAAGTGATTTTAATTGGAAAAGATGTCTTGTTTGGAATTTTCATATCAGTATGATTTTAGGACGTGGAATTTTAAAGCCTTTAGTTGATAGGATTTATAATGCAAATTTTTATGCATATGTAAAATAAATTTATAATTGAGTACTGAGCATACTATGTAACTAGAGTATTTTAAAATAGAGTGACTAGTAAGCCATAGGATAAAAGGATGACAAACAATGAATAGAAATGATGCTCATCAGAATAGGCTTAAGATGTTTAAAATGTGATTTTGGTTTCAGTTTGGACCTCTATAATGTGGTGCAAGATTTTAACAACTAAGGTTTCAATAAGGAATGAGTAGATATTAGGTGAATATAAATATATGGTGATATTGTTTTGCAAGACACTAGAGATTAATTGAATCAAAGAGTGAAAACTAGAACACTATTAGCATCACAAATACATTTTATTTTTATAGTAAGGCACAGTTTTAATTCTGTGCCTTACTATAAGAATATTTCTCCAAATACTTGAAGCTCTACGTGATGCATAACATCCTAGATGAATCACGCCATTTCTTTGAGTTATATCTTATGGGCTAGATACTGTTAAAGGTTTTAAAATTCTTTAGAGAAATGTACAAACATCATTATATTTTTAAACTATTAAATATTTCCCACCTGATAATAATGCCAGGAGCAAAGATATGGGTTAGAGATATAGTACTTGAATTTTCATGTATTTTCTTCTGTTCCTTAAAAAAATTCTAAGAAAATTAGAAGCTTTAAAATTTAAAGGGGAAAAAACTAAAAAAAAAAAAAAAATTAAAGGGCAGCATATATAACATAATTTATGATATAGTTGGTAGTAGTTATTCTGAAAGAATATTTTAATATTTCAGTGTAGTTTATAGCAGACCCTTCATAGTATGCTAATCTTATCCTGAAGTCTGACCTTGCTTCTCATATAGTTTTAATATACCATGTAGTGCTATACTTTAAAAGACTTCTTTAAAAACTTATGTCCATTTTAAGTAACAATGACAATAGTGACACCTATTTCAGAATATAACCACTGTCCCATTTTTACTTAAATCCAGTACAATTTAGCATGTGCGGTATGATTCACATGCTTCAGGCAAATTTCATAATCTCTACAATAAAGTGATTGCTAGATGTAGCATCTAACTTAATTTTTTTGAGATTTGATTTTTTAAAAAACACTTAGATGACTTTTCCAGAACGGATTATTAATAGCCATTCTTTTGAAACTGAATATGTTAATAGGACATAAATAGTCTTATTTATAAAACAAACCTAGGGCCAGGGATATAGCTCAGCAGCATAAGTGCCTGCCTGCAAGCTCAAGGTCCTGAGTTCAATCCCTGGTGTCACCAAAAAATTAAACAAACAAACAAAAAATACCACAAACCTATTATATTATCACTATATAGGCTATACAATATTTACTTTACGTTTCTTTTCATAAAATTCATGTTATTTCTTCAGGGTAGAATAATTTTTTTCCTTACTATTTCTATAGCAATGAGTGCAATGGTAAACATATTGTGGACAATCCTTAACACACTAAGCTTTTATTTATTTATTTATTTATTTATTTATTTATTTGGCGGAACTGGGGATTGAACTCGGGCCCTTGCGCTTGCCAAGGAAGCACTTATTCCACTAAGCCATCTCCCCGGCCCTAAGCTTTCATTTAGGTAAATGAACTTGGTGAAGTTTTCATTTATGATAAGATTATAGTCTGTAAGATATTGATGAGAGTTTTACAATCATTTGGCTTCTTGAGATCCAGAATCATATTTTATTCCAGTGTTCCTTATCTATTTTATAGCATGTGGCATTTGTTCTTATCTAATATATTTGTTGAAATAACATATGTGCTAAGCTGTGAATCTGTGCCTCTTCTGTGCTTTAAAAGCACAAAACCCCTAAGATTAAAGGGCTGAATAGGCTCAAGTATCTGATTAATAGCAAAAGCAGGACTAAGAAGTGCGGGTCCCTTTACTCTAGTTTTTATTCCATGGACTGCCACTTCCATGCTACAGCCTGTTCTTCTTGAGTCATTTGACATAGAAATAATGCACAAGGTGGAGTGCATGCATGCATGCATACACAAAGGTGTTGTTTAGGTTAATACTACATTTATTTTGAGTTTCCTATTTTGGGTTATAAATTTCAAACTTTAAAAGGCTAGTTTTATATAGCAGTTGGAATAGCAGTTGGAATATAAAAGATTTATAAGTTGAGTCTGGTGGCACAGGCCTATAATCACAGCAGCTGAGAGGCTGAGACAGAAGTAGTGCTGTGAGTCTGAGGCCAGTTGGGGCCGTGAAGTGCACTGAGGCCAGTGTGAATGAGTGGCATGGCAAGACCCTGGGTCAGAAACAAAACAAAACAAATTTATAATTAAGTTCTAAATATTTTATAGGTAGAAAAAATCATATGTCCATTTGCTTTATTATAAAATAAGAGATAAACTAGTCCTTTCATTTACTCTAATAGTATGGTCCCAGGTTAGATTCTACCCTGTCTTGTTATTTATGTGAGATTTTAAAGGTGAACTTTATCCAGAAGCTGTCACTGTCAACAGTTTTTGTGAAGCAGATGTGCGATTTTTAGAGCTTCCTGGGGAAACCCCTGTTAATTTGCCAACCCTGATGTAGTTAGTGGGCAGCTCAGATCACTGGGACAATGACTCTTGTGCATCATAGCCACTTCCTTGTGTCTACTTTGAGGTCTCTTGTCTTGCCATTTCCTTCCCTGGCCTTCTTTTCTCCAGCCACTGAATTGTTTCCTGTGCCCTTTGCACTCGAAAAACCTAAGACAGTTTCTGTTTTCATTAGTGAACTTTGTGGATAGATATACTGGCAGTTTGTATTCCAGATATGAGGCAAAAAGGATTCAATCACAAGGAAAACTTAAGGGGAGAGTAATGTTTTGGCTGGATTGTGCCATCTAACTCAGTCCTTTCTCTACTGTTGCTTTTGAGCAAAACAAACAACAATCTAACCAACTAAGCAAAAGAAATTGATAACTGGGCTATTGAATCTTGGTCATCTTTAACTTGAACTGGTCTCATTCTTTCTTTATAGACCAACTAGATTATATTAGTGTTAGAGGGGCAGGTTGATAACTTGTTAACTGTTCTCTGAGAATGTATAGAAATATAAGGAGTTGGGTATGAAGAACAGTATAGAAGTATCATCAAGTAGAACTTTATCTTAATGGAGGTGGAATAAAAATAGAAATCCTTGCTGACTTCTAGGACTTTTGTGATGAATGAATAATTATTGTTGATCTATTTCTTTAGGTTACTCATCTCAATTAGATCAAGAATAAAAAAGAGTTGGAGACCCATGATATAAGATGAAGATTTGGGTTACCAATGCAGGAATGATCTAGATAGATGAATGGAAAATTATTTTTAATGATTTTTAGTTTTCATGAGAAAGTGTTCAACTCTATAAGCAAGTCACTTGACTTCACTATATGTTCAGATCACTCATATATATATGTTGGGAGCTGAGAGAAAAAGAGGTATTTTTCTAAGCTCCTAGATAATAATTAAGGTACAACCAAAGTGTAGCCAGCCAAGCAATGAAATAATAAAGACTAATTTATAGCAGAAGGATGTGATATTAACTAATTGTTGAGGATAAGTACTCTTCATGTATAGTGCTGTAGACATTTAATAACCACAACACATTACCTTTTATATGACCTGTCCAAACTGAGTAAAATTAATATGATCGAAACTTTCATTATGGTTTGTCTTTAAAATGGGGAAAAAAGGCCAAAAGAAGTGTTTGAATTTGTCCATTAACATGGAAGTGAATCAAAAAAATGTAAAACTGCTTAAATGTTGTTCTTCTCATTATTTTTTTTCCCTTTGGTTACTTAGGCAAAGAAGTCCATCAGTGTCCAGAGATCAGAACAGAGGATACGACCAAAGGGAAGAAAGTGAGGAATACTCACAGTATGCTCCTTCTGATAGCGCAATGCCTAGATCTCCATCAGATTATGCTGATAGACGATCTCAACATGAACCTCAGTTTTATGAAGAATCTGATCATTTAAATTATAGGGACTCCAACAGGAGAAGTCACAGGCATTCCAAAGAGTATATTGAAGATGATGAAGATCTGGAGAGCAGAGATGAATATGACAGACAAAGGAGAGAGGAGGAGTACCAGGCACGCTACCGAAGTGATCCAAATTTGGCTCGTTATCCAGTGAAACCTCAGCCCTATGAAGAACAAATGCGTATCCATGCTGAGGTGTCCCGCGCGAGGCATGAGAGAAGGCATAGTGATGTCTCTTTAGCAAATGCTGAACTAGAAGATTCCAGGGTTTCTCTGCTAAGAATGGACCGGCCATCAAGGCAGAGATCTACATCTGAACGTAGAGCTGCAATGGAAAATCAGAGATCGTACTCAATGGAAAGAACTCGAGAGGCTCAGGGACAAAGTTCTTATCCACAAAGGACCACAAACCATAGTCCTCCTACCCCTCGGAGGAGTCCAATACCCCTTGATAGACCAGACCTGAGACGCACTGACTCACTAAGGAAACAGCACCACTTAGACCCTAGCTCTGCTGTACGGAAAACGAAAAGGGAAAAAATGGAAACAATGTTGAGGAATGATTCCCTCAGTTCAGACCAGTCAGAGTCTGTGAGACCACCACCACCAAAGCCTCATAAATCAAAGAAAGGAGGTAAAATGCGACAAGTTTCACTGAGCAGTTCAGAGGAGGAATTGGCTTCCACGCCTGAGTATACAAGTTGTGATGATGTTGAGATCGAAAGTGAGAGTGTAAGTGAAAAAGGTAAGCTTTTTATTTTAGATTGTATGTCAGTGTTTAACTTTCAATAGCTACATATTCCTGCTTTATTTAAAGTCTTTTAGAGCTGGGGAGATGGCTCAGTGGAATAAGCGCTTCTCTGGCAAGTGCAAGGGCCTGAGTTCAATCCCCGGTTCTGAAAAAAAAAAAAAAAAAAAAAAAAAAGTCTTTTAATCATGTTGGTCATTGGAAGAAAATCTCAGATTATAAAAAATTGAGTATCTTCCATTGTTCATGTAGTGGAGGTCTAGTTTCAAAAATTCTTTCTTGCTTAGTTTCTGAAGTTTTTCTTGCATCACTTGATAGCATTTTAAGAATATTAATTCTCATTTAAAAATAACACTTATTTTTCGTGTCTCCTTATAAAAGTATAATATGTTCACTGTAGAGTATATGAAACCATCCTCAAAGTATAAAGAGTGAAACACATGCTAGCTACCTTCCCTTTCCCCATGTGACCATTACTAACCTTTAATTATATTTACTTTCTTTTCACCTATGCGTGTATTTCTTATAGATTTGTAAAACTGATGTTGTACTTTTAAAAAATAATTTTATATTTTGAGTTTTTTCAGTTGGTTTGGAAATATATTTAAATGGCCTCACTAATTTTCTATTTTAAGAAAGTAACACAGCTAAGCATTTGAGGCACTGAAGTTGCTTGAAGAATCTTTTATGTATTTTTTGCCAACATATCTGAGTATGTCACAGGTATATAGTTCTGCTTTGGATTTTTTAAAAGCTTCAATTCAGATTTCCAAAGTGTTTTCCAGAAAGTTTGCAATGTTTTCTGTTTCTGTCAGGTATGCTTGAGCTTTTGGTCTCAATGATGTAAAGCTTTGGCAAATAGGAGACAGACACAGACACAGACACACACACACACACACACACACACACACACACACACCCCTATTTTTTCATTGTTTGCATTTGCTTATGAGGTTGATTTAAATTTTTTTTTGAATGTGCTTATTGGTGTTTGAATCATAGATTTATTCCAATATTCTTTCCTGCTCATCTTTCTATTGGGTGGTAATTCATTTATCATTTATTGGTTTAAAAGAACTTCTAAAATATATTAGAATTTTGCCTCATTTAACTGTTATTTGTTGTGATTTATTTCTCATTTAGATGTTTGCTAATTTTGATTTTTAGAAATAATGAATGTAATGCAAAATCCAATATTTATATACTTGATGGATTTTCATTATTCACCATTAGCTTTTTATTTATCTCCAAAGCAGTTAAACATTTAGCTTTATATTTTGTCATTTTTGTTTTTCATCATTTTGGAATTTATTTTGCTGTATAACAAGACTCTGCCAGAGGGAGGAGAGCACGCACCCTTGTCTGGTCTCGCCCCTCACCTCCCTCAGCTTTACCATACCATTTGGAGAACAGTCCGTTTTCTCACTGAGAATAGCAAGAGTAGAAAGGGAATTCAGGAAGGCAGTGAGGTGGAAGTTAATGTAGTCATTTTATACTGTATCAAAAGTGATTAGTTAGAAAATATAAATTAAGAGTAGTTCCTATTCTGACCTTAAAACAGAAAATGTGATTTAAAAATAATTAACAAGGAATGAGGGACCTGCAGGAAGAACCCTAAAGATTAGCTAGGTAGCATAAAAGAAAATGTGAATTTATTTAGTGTTTCTAATTAAGAAGACTTAATACCATAAAGATGCATGCCAAATAATCTCTTCAAATTAATAACATTAAGTCATACTCCTAATTGGACCCTTAGGTTTTTTTATGTGAAAGGAAAACTTACTGGTAAGAATAATTTACCTGACAGATATTAATAAAGTGACAATACTTGAAAATGTAGTGTTGGTAGAAAATTTGACAGACAGATCACTGGAATTCTAATATAGTATATTATAAATAAATGACAGAAACGTTAAAAACACCAAAATTGAAGGGAGATGAGTTAAGTTGTTGAACAACTGGATTAAAGAAATACATATGCAGTTGGAATAAAATTAAGTTATAGATTTATTTTATTTTATGTTTAACTGCTATACCACCTGAAAATTGTATTCACTAAAAATAACTATCCCAAATAGAACTGTATATACAGTATTAATCAAGTTAACATAGTTTATTTAGTAATTTTATTTTCCCTAATCTTTGCTGCTTCTTTAGGTATATTTGATGATCTTTGGTGTGGTCATTTTCCACATTTTTCAGATTGTATAATATGACTATTATTAGAAAAGGATAATATTATTTTTAGTAGTTTATATTCTATATGGCAGATACAACATTATTACTATGTTAACCTTTGCTAAAATAATACTTTTATTTTACTTCATAAAATGTAAAAGACAAAACAGAAGTGCATCAGTTCAGCACTCGACAGCGTAGCTACGTGGTAACCTTCTAAAGGCTTGTATTTTGTTTAGGAATTTGCAGTATTCGTTTATAAACTACTTCACATAGAGCTACACATGAATTATATTAAAATCCTATGTGATGTTATTTAGAAAAACTAAAACACTTATTAAATATAGAAAGAAAACTACAAGTTACACTTAACTTCTTCCCTAACTTGAATTCCTAGTAGGTGCTTTTGGTGGTAGTCCCCTTCATCACTTTCTAATAATTTGTTTCACAGAACACAATTCCTGCTAACATTATTTCTTTTTTAACTTTTTATTTATTTATTTTGTGTGTGTGGCCAGTTCAGCCCACCAGGGGGCGGGGCTGACTGGCATGTGGTGCTGGGGATTGAACCGCGGTCCCTGTGCTTTGCTTAGCTTAGTTTGTTCTAAGTAGGTGCTTTAGACCACTGAGCCATCTCACCAGCCCTTGCTAACATTATTTCTGAGGGACAGTTATACTTTAACTTTGGAGCAAGAAGTCCAAATAAAGTAATTTTTGTTAGTTCGATATTTCAATAGTAGAGTTTAGTGAGGAGAAATTGTACTTGCTGAGAGACTAGAAATTATGGGAAGGGGAAATAATTATGTCATATTTTGATTTTTCTTTATGACAGTAGCATTTTTAATTATTTGTAGAAAAAGTATCAATCTGATTTTGAAATAAACGACTTTTAAAGATATCTAACATTGTGATTCATAACCATCCTTGATATTTAACTAATATTTGATGTGTCTTCTTAATAAAGAAGTTTCATTAGTGGCATTTAAACACATTTTTTTCTTGCATATTTATATGTGGTGACATCATTCTTGTGAGGACAGCCAACTTTTGAAAGATCACCATCTTTTTGTTTTATTATTCCTAGGCTAAATAATTCCAGAGAATGTGTTTTGCTACTCAGATTTCTTTCTCATTATCTTGACTTTTCTGTTCCTTTTTTTAGTGCACTACCTTTCAAAACTATGCAAAGCAAATTTGGATCAAGTATTTAAATTCAGAACAGTCATAGAGAGTAACAGCTAACATTCTCATTGCAGAAGAATTCCGTCTGGGACCTAGTAGGTCATGGCTTCTGCCATATAGCAAGATCTTTCCTGTTCTTTAAATAATAAAACTCTATTGGCAATCCACAGCAAGCATGTAATTCATTCAATTAAAAATTCTTTGTGGCCTGCACCCTTTGGCTTTTCTGTTTTTTTCTTATCTTAGCTTCATTGGTGCATTGATGACTTTGACTTTTACTCATTTGTCACTTTTGATGGATTTCATTATTCTCAATATTAAAGAATTTCACTCATTTGAAATCAGTGCCACTTTATCCACTATATTCTAATAAACGATGCTAATAGTTACCATCCATGGTTGCCATTGTTCTTGTAGGTGTGACAAGAAGTTTCAATAGGAAGAGAAAGTGTCAGTTTTGGAGTTTAAGAGCAAATCTTGAGTGTGTTGTATACTAACTGTTATTTTCCTACATTTTTAAGCCATTTTAGGTCTATTTTCTTACCTATAAATCTGTAAATCAATATAATAGCATTTTTATTGTTTGGTAATTATAGGAATTGAATATCAATTGTCAAGTAGCAGGTATTTGAATCATTTTTAGGTTCCTTATTTACTTTTCTGTATAGTCAAGATTTCTACGTGACAACTCTCAAGTGTTTTGAATGAAAGTTATAACTGTGGTCATATGACTGTGGGTGTTTGTGTTGATTTTACCTTTTCCAGGTTCCACCCTGTCTTCTAGGCTTAGAAGGATACACTTGTGGAGAGTACTTTGGAGATGTAATTCCATGTCTCATTAATATTAAACACCTGTTTACTCATGTTTTTGCTAAGTGTTTTTTTCAGAGCCTATTATTTGCAAGGTGTGGGAATGGAACCAGGAAAGAATGTACAGGTAAAAAACATTCTTTCTACTCTCAAGAAATTGAAAAGTAGGGCCAGCCAGATAGATCAGTGGACTAAAGTGCCTGTTTAGGCAGAGCACAGTGGCCAGGGTTCGATCCTGGCATGCTGTGCTGGCCCTGCCCCCAGGGTGCACTGAAACTGCGATTGAGACTGGGTATGGTGCTGCACGCCTGTAATCGCAGTGCTTGGGAGGCTGAAAAACAGGAAGGATCACTACAAGTCTGATCTACATAGTATGACCCTGTAGACCCTGTACTAAATACATAAAATAATAAAAAAAAGAAATTGAAAAATTAAAATAACCAGTAGTATAAAGCAGTTGTACTGTACAGTGTCAGAGGAGAGAGGACTTAGTCATCCTTAACTGATTTTGTGTGCCTTAATAAAGCTTGTATCACTTATTTTCTAATTCAGTTAGGTGCAGTCGCTTTCCTTAATGACAAATGATTGCATCAACATACACTGTACAGGTGCTGTGAGTGAGCTATGCCAATAACAGACAGGGAAAGTTTGTATATTTCCTTTTATCAGAATTAGCAATAAATTCATGAGCTACGTCAATTTTGCCAGCCTTATCAAAGTGAGTATTCAGCGTTCACTCAGTAGCCAGACGGACCACGCATTCACAGTTTCTTTTATTCTAATCTTATTTAGTAATAGTTATAAAATACTCAAATCAGACATCACAC